AGACAGAGTGCGGACATGACGTGGCAGGAGCGTGTAGGTTTCACGACCAGTCGGTGTGTTACATCGGTGAAGTAAGTGTACACAAGAACTTCAACCAGTGTGATAGTTTGATTGCGAGGTAGTACAATTTACTAAAAAGTGATCGGGGAATTCGATAGTAACTTTTAACATGTAACACTTAAAATGTAACTGAATGGTAAATACTGAGTGAGACTCAATACCTGCATGAATCTTGGGCGAAGACTCGAAAACCGGAAAATATTTGGCTTGAGAATGTGTACACTAGCTCCAAGTATAGAGCTGATGGTTTGGAAGCCCACCTAATTCCTATATTTACCGTGTTCGATATGGTGCAGTTGTAAATGACAGAGAATAGTAAGTCGGGTCGTTGGCGCGGGTTCAAGTCCCACATGGTGCAAATTTAAAGAGTTGGCTTAATTTTAGAATGTGATCAAAATTGGGAGGCTTGCGGTAAACACTGAGGTGTTGCAGTGAGGTATTAGTAACTTAACCCTTGTACGAAAACGATTGTCCACAACCCAGGCTTCCCGTAAGAAGGCTTGGTGATCAAACTGAAACCCTTCCTTTGGAGGCGGACAGTAGTAGTACTGTAAAGGTAACAGTTGGGGCGTAAAGAATGGAGCAAGTAGTACAATCCCGATCCTTCCAAATGACTGTGTAGCAGGTATCTCAAATCGGAGTATCCGTCACCCCAAACAGGCGCAATAGCAATCCAATAAGTTCACTGAGGGAATCAATCAATGAAGCAAAAGAACAAAACCCAAAGGACAAAGACGAAAGCCAAAGCCAAGACTCGCAAGGGTAAAGGCAAAAGCCTCAAGGCGAAGCCAAAGACCCGCAAGGGTTAAAGGCAAGGGTAGAAGCTAAGGCAATAAGCCGAACCATAAGCCAAGGCAAAGGGTAAAGCCAATAAGCCAAAGTTGAAGCGAGGAGCCAAATAACTTTCTCAATACGAGTCGAAGAAGAAGTGCCCAGTTTATTAGGGCAATAGAGAAGACCTCAACCCTAACCATAGGGAGAGCCGTAACCGTGAACGGAATAGGGTACGCACTCAATAGAGTCGAGCAGTCCTGATACCATAACAATAGAGGCCGCCAACGTAGCCGAGAGCGCGACGCCCGCACAGGTAATTTTCACTTTGGTCGTCAATCTGAAGATTTAGCGTCAGTGTTGGTATCGACGGGTCGAGACTGCCGAAGCCGTAAAGTCCCTAACAGAGCTCGTAGTGGCCGTAAGGTTAGACTGGAATGGCTTAAGGTTCGAGTCAATAAGCATTGATAAAACCAATCAGTATGAAGAGTGACCGGTGTGGTCAGGAAAGCGAATTCATTTCGGTGCATTTAAAAAGCGATGGATGACCGCCCGAACCACATGAAAAACGACGAAGAGGATATAGCCGTCACTCGTCTTTGAACTCGGTGTTCGTTCGATAGCACGAGAGAGTTGAGTCAAAAAGCGGCTGGAAAATAGCGAGCCATTAGTCCCAAACTTTGGTGGCGAAATCGCAGAACCAAAAAAGATGGGGAGCCGTTTCCAGAACATCGCAGCCGTGATGACATTGTGTAGCAGCACCAGATAGGTGCTGTAGCCGATACCCAAGGATTAGCGCATTGTGCTGGAGCCGAAAAAGCAGATCAGCAAAAACAAGTATTAGGTGCCTACCTATTTTTAGGTCGCGACTCCACATTGTAGGCGGCGGGTCAGCGATCAAGCCAAGGCGCGCTGACGGCCTTGCCGGTGAAGCTGGCTTAGAAATAATCGACCGAATTCAAGCCACATTAAGGTCAGCCAACTCAAAGGCATCAAACACCCAGTTGTAAAAGGCACCGAAGTACTTGGAGGTTAAATGTGGTCCAGTAGGGAAATTCCGTATAGGACCCGGTAGGCTACTGATGCGAGCCAAAAATCTGGCGCACGACCCAACGCCAGGAGTACGGCCAGGGTGTATGGCCCGAAGAAAAAGCGATAGGGAATTACTAGTCACTGAATGACCGCAGACTCGATATAATTCGCTTGGTCGAAAGACGCCTTGAGCCGCCAATAGAGTATATAGTTCTGACCGCCTTGGTTGGCCGACCAAGGTGCGGCCACTTGAACTGTAGGTTATGTCCACATTGTGCAATAGCGGTATTGTAACCTTGTCGAATTTAGACTAGAGCCGCACCAGTTTCTTTCGGAGGCGAGAAGTCCATACAAAAAGAACGGAGTGCCAATATGCGCCAAGTGGAGCCCATTGCTTAGTCCAAAACGAAATAGCGTAGTCTGGACCTGTTGATACAGGTGCATACAGTATATCAAATTCTCGACCCCAGGGAGAAATGGCTTGGTCCTAAAGCTGTATAACAGGCTGTGCCCAGGTAGATACACCAGTAGTAGCGTGATTCCGAGCGGCCAGTATAACCTTGCACTGTATGCGAAGTTGCAAACTGTGTACCATGTCCTTAATCGGAGTGAGACCCAAGCCGCCTTGACTCTGGGGTAAAAAATGTGGCAAAGCGGTCACTAGGTAATTTCGATTAGGACTTGGATCGGCGATCGCACGGATCGCACGCTCCAGTCAAGCCAAGAATGCTATGATTGGTGGATACAGGCCGGGACGGGTAGCTGGAAATAGCTTACCCAAACCCTAAGTGGACAGGATCGTACAGCCTGGGATGAGGCTTAAGGGTGTTCACACCCGTTTTGATTACGCAATCCGTATGAGACGTGGCAAGACAAGATCCTCGATCTCACTAGAAGACCGCGATCCCAACCCAGGATCGCAAGTCCGATCTCAGCTGCGATCCGCTAGTGGGATCACGATCCGCTATTAGGATCACGATCCGCTACAAAGATCACGATCCGCTAGAAGGATCACGATCCGCTAGAAGGATCACGATCCGCTAGAAGGATCACAATCCGCTAGAAGGTTCACGATTCGATAGAAGGTTCACGATCCGATAGAAGGTTCACAATCCGCTAGTAGGATCACGGTCCGCTAGTACGATAACGATCCGCTAGTTAGATCACGATCTACTATTAGGATCACGATCCACTGGTAGGATCACGATCCTAGTAGATCACGATCCACTGGTAGGATCACGATCCACTAGTAGGATCACGATCCGCTGGTAGGATCATGGGGATATCTTGGGTGGGCCACAAGTAGATACAACTGCTGATATACTGGGTGTGGACCACACAAATGGGAGGGGACGATCTTCCTGGAAAGGCGACGCGTGGCATCTGGTTAGGATATACGGATAGGCATAGGGGTGGGGTTTAGGTTGGTTGGTTAACATTAAACAGAGTTCAATTTACTTCACAAGCCACACGTTATCTCTTCCGGTTTAGTATGTTTGACCCCCCATCGAATAAAAAGTCGCGCTACACGTCTACGCAAGTGTCACACCTGGATTCTTTTGGCCAGGTGTGTTCAAGAACTCTCAGGCAACATCAACTGCAATCGGACGCAGCAAGAAACGTAAAGGCAAGGCGCAAGGTCGCGAGACGGCTCAAGTGGTCAGAAGGCTCGCGGATCAAGCAACCCCGTAGTGGACGAGGCGATCTCATTGAGATCAGGGTAACTTACATCAGAACCCACAAGTAACCCGTGATCGCGTGAAGATTTCCGCACGATCACAACCCCTTCCTCAACACGGTCAAGTTTTCCTTCGACAGGTGTCCACTTGGAAGAGTGCAACCCGCTCTACTAACAGGTACACAAGGTGAGGAAGGCAACACACACAGAATCGGAGTACCTCCTCCGTTAGTCGGTCGTCCGGGCGCCTGTGGAGAGTTGGGATTAACTCATAAAATGAGCGATCGCCACTCCACCACAATGGTGCGCGTTCCCGGATCCGAATCAGGCATTTCACCGTGAGTCCCTTAGTGAAGAGGAGAAATTCTAAACCTGGGATGGAAGCAAGTCTAAACCTGGGATGGAAGCATTAGAGGAAAAAAGATCGCCTCCGACGCGCGATTTTAAAGGATCCCCGAATTATCAGAGTTTAAAGAGGGGCTCTGATGACAAGAAAATAAAAGAACAAATCCTATTAATCGATCTGGAAGATAGATCTCAAACCCCTTCTGAGGTCCCCGAAGGGACCACCGCGGATCGTGCTGCAAAACACGATCCGCTGGGTGATGACTCTTCAGCGAAATCTGAACAAAGACCACTTAGGCAATGTCGAAGAAAAATACTGTTAAGACAGATCGAGTGAAGATAGAAGAGCCCAGATCAGATCTACGCGATCGCAGCAAAAAACCGATCGTAAGACCCTCAAGTTCGTATCTGAGGCTCTGGTAATGAAGATGGAAGGATGGCAGCTGGATCAACTAGCGCGGGGGTTCCATTGGAAGGCGCTTTAAAATTTTGCTATCGAGCGACCCCGTTCTACGGATACAGAAGCCCAAGCTGATTGGAGAAATTTAAGGCCATATATCTTTACCGAAGGCGGCAAATAATCCGCTGGAAGGGATCAACGCGATCATCCAGATTCTACAAGATTCTAGATACGTCGCTGGGGCATTCGTTGCGAACAAATTGCTGGAATGATTATAGGATTAGGTGATCCATGCGTGTCGATATCTGTACGACGAGCTAATTACTCCGACGGGAAAGCGCGAACCCGCGGATCAAGCGGTTGCCACGATCGCCAATGTCCCGAGGGGGTATCATACCGGATCGTCACAATTTGCCTCAGCGGAATCAGAGATGAAGTCGGACAAACCGTCGGCATCCAGCGAATATCTTGGGGCCCAAGTGATGCAACACGTTTACGCGATCTAGTCGAGTCGGTGGAGCTGAATTCGCGATCGAGGGCCATAGGCGCTAAAGAGCAGATGACGACAACTGCGCAAGGACTCCAGCAGACATACCTCGATGAGGCCATGGAACGTTTTCGCCAAGATCAACGGGAACGAGCGTACCAAGCGATCCATGCTAGCCAAAGGATCAAACATGCTAGATCCCGTGAAAGATATGCCTTAATGTGGAGATGGAATTGGTGCAGTCGCGCATCAGTCAACCGGAGGTTTTAGACCCTGACGACATCGATCCCGATGATTCAAGACATGAAGGTCGTAGACACGATATGGTAGCTACGACCGAGACGTTGCAAGATGGTGGTAGCATATTTCAACGCATTCGAGTGTCGGCTATGAAAGAGCTGAAAGAATTCAGTGGCAAGGATCGAGATGAAGATCGGGCCAGAAGCTGGATCAGCAAGGTCAAATCTGCCTTCTTGCGCGATCAAACACCCGATAAGGAGAAGTTTTTGGAGTTCGGAGATCTGCTGACAGGACCCGCTCGAAACTGGTATAACCAACTAGGTCGAGTCACTCGAAAGAAGTGGAAGAGATTGCTGGATGACTTAAAGGTACAGTATGGAGGGCAAGGTGTGTCTCTGGCCAGACAATACTATCTCGCACGGAAACGATCGGTGGAAAATCCACAGGAGCATCTACACCGCCTAATTGTCGCGGCTAAGCATGCCAAGATCAAGATCAGATACGAGAGGATGGCCACATCGGACACATGTCGTGAAGTTGTGAAACTTTTTATTGCCACGTTGGACGATCGCGATCTGGCCAAGAAGCTGACCCTACTACGATTGGCCAATGTCAATGAGTTGGATGAGACGTTACGTGCATGCCAAAGGATAGGGAGTTGTCAGTTGAAGACGTCGACAGGATCGAACAAGTTCCACCAGCGAGCGAATGCCTCCTCAAATCCTACGTCATCTAAGACTGCTCGGGTGGTTAGGGAAATCCGTGAGCGGATCGAATGTAGCGGATCGAAATCGGACTCGATTGGATCAAACAAAGACAAGGATCGCCGCCGAGTTTGTGTAAAATACACTCGGTCAAGAGAGATCGATTCAAAGATCATTGTACCTGGCAGAATAATACTGGTGAAGAAGATAGACGTGATCGAGGTGGAATATCGAAGGCACGCTCCCACTGCGGATCGACGCGACATGATGATCGTGGATGCTGGCAGAGACTAACGTGCCAGAAGTGCGGTCGCAAAGGGAATCCATCGAACAAGTGCTTCTACGTCTGTGCAGCATGTGGAGAGGTACATGAGAATGGCAAATGCCCTATGAAGAGTTCTTTGATTTGATCCGCCAGTGACATGTGCCTACTAAGCATGCGGGTATGTTTCCTCCGAAGGTCGAGGAAATATTAAACTAGGACGCTCGCCAGGTTGGAATCTGGCACGAGCCGAGCGTTCTGGGCTATGCATATATGCATGTGTTGAGAAGAAGTCGGATGAACAAGGAGTTAAATATCGGCGCGGTGCGATCCCTCATGTCTGATCGTTCAAAACAGACTTATTTAATTTTAAATGTGAAGCGAGTGGACTATTATGCCCGATCCACGGTGGAGATGGAGCTCGATCCCACCCCAGGTGAGTCGAGAAAATACTGGAAAAATCATACTTCGGGAAAATGGTTTAAACAAGCGAAAGCAGCAGGCAAGATCAACAATGAGAAGGGCACTATGCTGTTGATTCTGGAGCGGAGATCTCGATCATCGACACTACTCGTAAGGTATATTGTGTGATAGACGAGAGCCAAACACAAGAATGTGTTGGGATCGGAGAGCGTACTTAAACGACAGTAGGACGGACCGAGATCAAGATCACACTGAACGGATCACTAGTGTATTATTTTGATGTCTGGGTTGTGGATCAAGTCGGTCAAGAAGCTGTACTAGGCATGGACTTCGTGGTTCCTGCAGGTATCCGTTTGGATTTGGCCGAAGGAACTCTTTGCCTGCCCGATGAAATTCAAATCTGTCTGGTTGGACGAAGATCACCGTACCGATCGAATAAATCGGCGGTCAACCTTTACGATCAGCATCTTGCGATACCCGCCGGTAAATCTACGGATGTTAGGATCGGCGTCAATACTCCCAAGATTAAGCTGTGGGTGAGACGAGAAGTGGCGTGGATTTCTACCGTCGAGAATGGACTTGGCAGGATTAAGTTCCTGCAGCTTAAGAATACAAGCGATAAATCTTTTTTCTCAAATTATAGTGCTGCTATAGCGTTGTGGATGACAGAAGACATGACACCACAATCTCAAGGGTATGTATCCGTAGGATCGCCGCGGTTTATGGAACGGCAGACTTTTGGTCTCTGAAGCCACTACAGATCGAAATGAAGAAGAAGCTGAAGCATACACGGGGCCGTTAGTGTATCATTTTACGTATAAAAATTACCCGAATTTTGACACGCTCAAAACGGAAATCAGACGACACCAAGGATTCTGAAGAGATCGCCTCACTATCCATCTCTAATGGTGACTCTAATGAAGACTTGCAGGACAAATGTACGAGCGGAAAGAATAACGAAGACAAGGATGATAGATGGACAATGAGATCATGTGCGGTCAACGCAGCACGAAATACGCCAGAACATTCGAGTGAAGAGGACGTGGTTGCAGAGGAGGCTATGACACCGAAAAACAACCATGAGACAACTGATCCGCTACAAAAAATGTTTAACTGTCACCCAGACGGGATCAAGGTTGAAGATCGGGAGGTGTATGGTCAGTCTACACGACTGGATGATGACGTGAAAGCTGTTACAATTGAAGGCGATGTGATGAAAATGAGTACCGGATGAATCAACATACTACCACGAGAAAGGTGAACTGTTCGCGGAAGATTTAAAACAACGCATGGCTGTAGTGCCGGAGATAATCATATTCACTACCGAGATGACAATAGACGAGTCCAGGTTGGCTATCCTTGAATACCATTGACAGAGGATCAAGAAAATTTGCGACGACTGATATGGAAGAGTCATCACCCGTTGATCGGGAAAGAAAATGCATTACCCCCTGCAGCACGCGGGGCCGTTTGCGATATTGATGTGGGAGAGGCGAGGCCGATCGCTCAGCGTGTACGACCTGTTGCGCTACCGTTTCGTGAGAAGTTGGCCGATCTGATAAAAGGCCTGTTGTCAGCTAAGATTATCCGACCTTTGACATCGCCGTGGGCATCACCAATAGTCGTGATTAATAAATAGACTGGAGAATACATCCGATTGTGTATCGACTATCGAAAAGTTCTTCAGTTGAAACAGTTGATGGTGTACCCTATGCCACTTATCAGTGAATTGTTGCAGGACATGGACAAAGCAATGTGGTATTGTTCGCTGGACTTGGCGAGTGAATTTTGGGTAGAAGAGATGACTGAACGAGCAAGATCGATATCTGCGTTTATCACGCCGTCAGGGTTGTTTAATAGATTGCAAATGCCTTTTGGATTGAAGAACACCCCACAGATCTAACAGCGTTTTAATGATTATGCTCTATGTGATCATCTCTAGATCGACACTGACAAGGATGTGAATACAGCGGATCATGCTAAGTCAACTGATGTGTTTACTGAGGGAGAGCCGGAAACGGATCAAGCGATGTCAGTGCTGGGTAGACGATCTTATACTAACGATATATTGATCCCGGCTACGTCATGGACACCATTGTACGACAAGGTCGAAAGATTATTGACAGCATGCGATCGATGGAGTTTGTCGATCAGGCTGGACAAGAGTTTTTGGGGACGGCGTAAGGTGGATTAATTAGGTCATCAGGTATCTTTGGCTGGGTTGGAGGCCAATCTTAAAAAACTAGGATCGCTGGTCAACATTCCTTTCTCACAACTTTGCGATCCATGAAATCGTTCTTAGGTAGCTTGAACTATTACAGTCGTTTTATAGAAGATTTTTGCAGTACATGCATCTGTGTTGTACGAGTTACGAGAGACGGTTTTTTTCGAGATTAGCCAAATGGGAGATCGTGATGCAATGTCAGGAAGTTGCGATAACACATTACAAGGGGGTGAGCATTATCAAAAATGAGCAATCTCGGTGAAAAAGGGCCGCCATTGCATTCACTTTGCTGAAGGACAAGATCGCTACAACCTCGATCCTTAAACATTTCGATCCGGATCGACTTCCATTGATCGTGGTATACGCTAGTAAGTGGGCAATGTCGGCATCTCTATTGCCAATATATGACGGCGTATACTGGCCGGTGACATTCACGAGTCGCACGCTGAAGTTTAACAAAGTTAATTATGGCGTGGCGGAGAAAGAAGATTTAGCCCTACTTCGAATCTTGGAAGTGTGCTACACCATGGTTATATCCCGAAAGATCAGGATGCTCACTCGATATTCAACATTAGCTTGGATAATTCAATCTTCTGGCCTGCATGGGAGACGGGAAGATGGCCTGCGCTGCTATATAATTGGACACTGGAGGTCAAGAGATGTGACAAAGGAGAGGGAAAAAAAAACTAGGCGCTCTCGCAGCTAGTATGACTCTGCGAGATGAGGTAGATGATGTGTCGATTGCGATCGCTCCACGGAAGAAACCTATACAATTGGTTACCATGCTACCTCCCATGATAGGTACGGATGAATGCCTCCTGGTGGTCAGTTTCGACGGATCGGCACGGACTTAACGGAAGATCAGGGCATGTAGTGCGATCGTGTGAAAGCTACCAGAATGGACCATCATCTCAGCCGCTTCGGAATACGCGGCAGATCTGACGGTGAATGCAGCAGAACATCGTGGCATGTTGTTGGGTCTTGATCTGCTGGACAACCTATCTAGTGGTGAGTCATTATAAGGGTGACTCAAACCTAGGGATCATGCAAATTTGAAGAGATGGATCTAAAGCGCCCGGGCTACAGTTATTGCTTCATAAAGCAGTGCAGAAATTTCGATCTTGGCCAAAACAAGGGTTCTACACATGAAGAGGGAGTGGAGCCAACGCGCGGATCGACTAGCCAGTGCAGCTTTGCAGCAAGAGGAAGGTGTCAGTGTGAACTCAATTCAAGAATTGCAAGATTTGATAGCACTTAACAGGCTGGACGAGTTGATTCTGCCTGAAAGGACGGATCGCGTGGTGAATATGATAGCGATCACACGATCCGCGCGGCGAAAGCGTCAACAATCCGAAAACCAATTGCTGTTCTTCAGCCCCCGATCCGGTAAGGAATCGAACGATCGTATAGAGATGGTCCGTCTGGTTGTACCGGAATTGTTGTAGCACGATTTTATGCAATATTACCACACAAGCTTGGAGGGTGGTCATTAGGGGATCGGGAGGACTAATCATCGGATCAGACCCAATTTTCACTGAAGAGGATTGTATCGGAGTACACAACGTTATGTTGGCGAACGCGTGGACTGTACAACTGGGAAGGGTCTACCCGCGATCCGCGGCAGATCCCCGGGAAACATACAGGCTACAGAACCATTTCAGGTGATCGCGATGGATCATTTCCCATCATTGCCGCGGTCATATAAAGGAAACACAGAACTGCTGCTGTGTGTAGATCTTTTCTCAGGATATGTGATCGCGAGAGCGTGGTTAGTCGAGGACCGCCCGAACGATCGCTGAAAGATATGAAGAATGTGTGTTTCAAAGATTTGAATTCAGTGAATTTATACGTCACGACAGGGAGCCTAATTTGATGCCCGACTTTTTTGGAGAATTTTATTCGGATCGCAGGGCAAAAGCAACGTGCGACCATGGCGTACCGACCGCAAGCAAACGGAACTGCGGAGCGTATGGTACAGACGATGACTCGGTCGATTAAGATATACGTCACGGACGTAAAACAGAAAGACCGGGATGAACTTGCTGAAAGATTGACATGCGCTATGAATACGGCACAATATCGGATCCTTGGGGACACTCCGTTCTATTTGATCCATGGCTGGGATCCAAGATCGACTTTGGAAGCAGCATTACCGTTAAGGAGCACTAAAACACGCGATGCTGACCCTAGAAGGTGGCGATATAACGTCCAACGTCAATATCAGAGGGCAAGCGCAGTGGAAAACGAACGTCTCAAGATCGCAATCCAAGATCGCGCGGATCGACACGATGACAATGACAAAGTGTGTGATATTAAGTGCGGATCGCAAGTTTGGCTCTTCTTGGACCGAGTCAAAGACGGCTATAGCTCGAAAGCTAGAACATATGTAGCACGGACCGTTACGAATGGCGGAGTTATGTGGGGAACCTGCTGTTCGGGTGGAGATTTCAGGAACTCCATACTGATTGTTCCCGATGGTGCATGTCTCTAGTTAAAGTCAGTGGTATAGTTTCCCAATCGCCCAGGCAGTGTGCTAGTGACTTACTGTGAGGATCGTGTGGATTTCGGTTAGTCGTTGTTGCCGGAAGATAGTTCGGAACACGATTTGGCTGCTGACGAATACGAATTGGAGAAATTTTTGGATGTACGATCAGGACGTAAAACTCGTTATGGCCGAGTGCATCGACAAATTTTGGTTCAATGGAAGTAACACGACGATCCGACCTGGATAGACGAAGCGGACCTGAACTGCGGCGCGTTGTTGAAAACTTCCGAGCGCAACCGTGCTAGTCAAAACCGGTTTGAATTATGCAGCCCTTCGAGAAAAAAAACCAAGATTTACGGGTGATCGAAGCGATGAGCGGTCGGCGCACGCTAAAAGGTGGATGGGCATATGTACAAGGAGGCTGTATGTGAAGATGGATAGGGGCTACATATGTTAGACTGGGGATAGCGGATCGAAGGGATCCGATCGCGGTTGAAAAGCCGAAGAACCGAAGTTGATCTCAAGATGAAGAACAAGATGAAGAATCAAATTAATTTTTTTTAAATTATGGAACTATCTGAATCGAATCTTAGGGATCAAGCAGGAAAGAACTTACCTGAAAATCGTACGATCGATGATCCGGGGTTGTCAGCGATCGAGGATCGATACTGGGGACGCCAAGGTTCAGCGGCATCCAGCAACGGGAAAGCAGCGATTCAATTGGGGATGCCCTTCGCTTTGCATCCCAGGCCAGAATGCTAAGGGGAAACCTCTCTGAAAGTAGCGAAGTGCAGAAAGAAGGGATCTAACAAAATGTACAGGTCACAAATACCTGCGATCATACCTTGCAAGATGAATCGAAGGATTGCCTTCCACCAAGGCCCAGCTCGCGACCGATGCTGCTTCCACTTTTCCAGAACTGGTCCAGCTCAGGATCCCTGGCCCGCTGTTCACTGGAAAGTAAGATCGCGTGCGTTGACTCCCACAAAGCCTGTCGGTTTCGATCCTCGAACTTCGAGTATAGAGAGGTGAGCTTGTCGAACCAGCCGGTACGAGGGAATGAGATCGGCGCAATTCGACGTGTGGATGTCTCAAAAGGCTTTTGGGCGTATAAGGTCGCGATCTGGGCCGAACACGCCAGCCGAGATGTCCACTCAGATGTGGCAGGAGGACACTTAAGCGCCATAACTGTCGGAGAGATATAGCCTTTGGGACATGATAAGAGGCGGTACAGGAAGTCAGTGCCCATCTCCGCGACTCGCGACCAGCTGAACTTGCGTGCCGACCAGAGAGAAACCTGAGTGAACGATCGCGGTACGCGATCTCGGTATCCAGGGATCCACTGGTTGCGAGAGACCTTGGTGGGGGACAAGCTGTCATAATCCGCCAGAAAAAACATCGGATTGACGTGATCACGAGGCTTATCAGAGAGGCTGATGGCGCCATCCGAGTCGCTGGACGCTTCTTAAGAAAGGTCTGCGCGTGATACCTCGGTCACGGTAGGAATAACAGGATCAACCGGAGGTGGAGGATCGCGCGAAGTTCTCGGCGTGTCCATGACGATCGGACCAGAGAAGGCCCAGCCGAAGGTAGTGCCGCCCGATTGGATGCTCGACGACGACTGGATGATCGCGTACTAGATAAAACCGCTAAAGTCTCATCCTCACCTGACGATGTACCCCCCCCCTCAGACGAGGTTGAGCTCGGACCACGGCGCTTCTGCTTGCTCAGTTTCGGGGTAGCTGCAGGCTTCGCTGGATCATGGCGATTATTGAGATCGCGACGACCCTTACGATCGCGAGTTCCCCTGGGAGCGGACGAAGGCCTGGGATCGCAAACTGGAGACGGCTTGGCTTTAGCAGTAGCGGATCGTGTCACCTTGGGATCGCAAAGGGGGACGGCATGGCTTTGGACGCAGCGGATCGTGACACCTTGGGATCACAAGCTGGGGACGGCTTAGGTTTGGACACAGCGAATAGAGTCACTTACTTTAAAGGCGGCAAAGTAGAAGATGGTAGGGAATCGCGAGATCGCTTGCTACTCGATCCTGAAATGTTCGATTTCGGCTGAGGAGTCGCGGGAACGGGCGTGTGGGTAGACGATCCCACCTTCGTAGGTGTGGCTGAAGTGTCCCCAGACATCAGCGACGCCATGCGATCCCGAAGGGTCGTGTGATCTAGTTTTGCGCGACCATGTTCGGAAGCCACGTCCGTGAGCTGAACTCGCATCTGGTCCAACGTAACGTCACGATCCGATACGATGCGATGCAAATGATCACACTCAGCAGATCGGGCGAATAGAGAATCCTGCGCCTCGCTTAGTTCGGCCTGAAGCCCCGATACATGCTTAAGTGCACGACACACCTTCGCCTGGTCGGCCGAGAGCCCCGATACTTGTTTGAGTGCACGACGCAGCTTCTCTTGGAGTTGGAGGTCGGTTTTTTTGTACTCCGACTTCTTGCTGTTAGCCTTGTCCAGGCTGTGGGACAACTTGGCACATTCAGACACCAACCGCTCTTCCGCCTTGTCCATCTGCTGGCGTATCTCGGCGGTCTCACGATCACCTTTCTCCTGTGCGGCATGACGTGCTAGCACAGTCCGGAGAATTTCATATTTCAGATGTTCAATCAAGACGGTCTGGTCGACCTGGTCGGCCAACGCCTCCCGGAAGGCTTCGGAGCACTTGATATCGTCTTGATAGCGAACGCGCAAGCGGTCTATCTTCGATTGGACGAACTGAACGAAAGGGGACGCGGAGGTGCGGAGCTCTTGAAGGTCCTCACTCAGCTGGCGATTCTGGATCATCTGCTGCTCCAAAGCAGCCTCCATACTCTGGTACCAATACGAGACAGTCTGTTGGAGGTTCAGTCGAAGGTAACGCAAATCAATCGCTGCGTTCAGCGCGGCTCGATCGACCGAAATCGGGGCTTCGGTTCGAGTCCTTAAGAGCAAGATGGGCTTACTCGGATCCAAAGTTGGGACGTTTTGGCCGACGTAGTTCCTGTCCAGAGCGGGGATCGAAGAGGAATGCGACAAAGGAATCGCGATGGAAAACCAACCAGAGCCTTCCCCCATATGGGCCGACTTTACCACAGCTCAGCGATCACACTCGGTTACCGGCACGGTGGAGGCGTTTGAGATTGCAGGACTGGTAACGTCGAAGTTCCGACATCTGGAGTTGGGATCGCGGAGGGCGTTCCGAGGGGCCCCGATCCTGAAGCAGGAGGAGATACCTGACCGGGTCTGCTGGATCGGACATCGTGTCAGAAGATGCGAAAGTGCGTGAAAAGGAATAAAGCACACAAGGTTGCACAGGAAGATCAACACCGAATGATGACAGACGGTGCAGATGCCGGTTGTGGCAAAGCGGTCACAAGGAAATTTCGATTAGGACTTGGATCGGCGATCGCACGGATCGCACGCTCCAGTCAAGCCAAGAATGCTATGATTGGTGGATACAGGCCGGGACGGGTAGCTGGAAATAGCTTACCCAAACCCTAAGTGGACAGGATCGTACAGCCTGGGATGAGGCTAAAGGGTGTTCACACCCGTTTTGATTACGCAATCCGTATGAGACGTGGCAAGACAAGATCCTCGATCTCACTAGAAGACCGCGATCCCAACCCAGGGATCGCAAGTCCGATCTCAGCTGCGATCCGCTAGTGGGATCACGATCCGCTATTAGGATCACGATCCGCTACAAGGATCACGATCCGCTAGAAGGATCCCGATCCGCTAGAAGGATCCCGATCCGCTAGAAGGATCACGATCCGCTAGAAGGTTCACGATCCGATAGAAGGTTCACGATCCGATAGAAGGTTCACGATCCGATAGAAGGTTCACGATCCGCTAGTTAGATCACGATCTACTATTAGGATCACGATCCACTGGTAGGATCACGATCCACTGGTAGGATCACGATCCACTGGTAGGATCACGATCCACTAGTAGGATCACGATCCGCTAGTAGGATCATGGGGATATCTTGGGTGGGCCACAAGTAGATACAACTGCTGATATACTGGGTGTGGACCACACAAATGGGAGGGGACGATCTTCCTGGAAAGGCGACGCGTGGCATCTGGTTAGGATATACGGATAGGCATAGGGGTAGGGTTTAGGTTGGTTGGTTAACATTAAACAGAGTTCAATTTACTTCACAAGCCACACGTTATCTCTTCCGGTTTAGTATGTTTGACCCCCCATCGAATAAAAAGTCGCGCTACACGTCTACGCAAGTGTCACACCTGGATTCTTTTGGCCAGGTGTGTTCAAGAACTCTCAGGCAACATCAACTGCAATCGGACGCAGCAAGAAACGTAAAGGCAAGGCGCAAGGTCGCGAGACGGCTCAAGTGGTCAGAAGGCTCGCGGATCAAGCAACCCCGTAGTGGACGAGGCGATCTCATTGAGATCAGGGTAACTTACATCAGAACCCACAAGTAACCCGTGATCGCGTGAAGATTTCCGCACGATCACAACCCCTTCCTCAACACGGTAAAGTTTTCCTTCGACAGGTGTCCACTTGGAAGAGTGCAACCCGCTCTACTAACAGGTACACAAGGTGAGGAAGGCAACACACACAGAATCGGAGTACCTCCTCCGTTAGTCGGTCGTCCGGGCGCCAGTGGAGAGTTGGGATTGACTCATAAAATGAGCGATCGCCACTCCGCTGCAAAATACCACAGAAGATCACTCGTCCCCTAGTTTGATCGGACAGTGAGTCCAATCCAAGGATTGGTCCGCGATATTCCGCCTCTCATTTACTGTCAAATGCTCTGCAAAATCAGAAGTAGCCACCACGATTGTCCAATCAGGTAAATTCCATTTTTTTAACCGTAAGCCTCGCCTTTCTTCTGTATTCTAGCCGATCCATCGAAGCTGAACACCAGGAGATTTTCGTCTGTATCGACTGTCAGTGGCGGCATTCTTGTGGTTTGTCGTGGATTTTTCCTTGTAGCGATCGAGATCAGCATGTCGTCTTGGTTTTTTTGGGGTGTCGTGCTTGCAGTTAGCGTGCCCAGCATTTCGTCTTCACCTTTGTCGAATCTCTAATGTCCAGTTTGATAGTAACGCTGCCCATCTCCCTAGTCTTCCATTGAGACCAGACGACTGCAATAGCCAAGCCAACGTCAAATATCTCGTAGGAACTATTATTCCTCGTGATACCTACAACGCGTAACAACTGTCTAATATTCGGAGGAGAGCTAACAACTCCTTTAGACCATTCCGTTATTGACTTCAGTGGAATTTAGCGTGCAGCTAGAAAGGTGACTGGCCACCATGTATCATCATATCCCTAAAGCATTTCAGCTAATACCGCCCACTTACTGGCGTATACCACAATCACAGGTGCTCGATCTGTGTCGAAACGTCTTAAGATCGGGTTTTCAGCAATTTTGGCTTTTAGCAAGGTAAAAGCTATTACTGCTTTCGATCATCGACTTCTGCCTCCAGAGTCCGGATTGCCCCCAAAAAATTTATCCAGGTCACCCTTTGTGTGTAAGTCCAGATCGCACACGGTATTTAAGCCAGGAGAATATCCGTACCTATCTCGTGAATCGCGATTGCGGTTGGATTCGATGTCTGATATTGATAACTAAAACTCTTTGTCTTGGCTGATCTCATGGAAATCTGTCTTCCTCAGCTCATAAATCACAGAAGTATATATCGAAAAGCCTCAATAAAGCGGCTGTTGTAATTTAGGCTTCACAAGAGTGACTGCATGGATCCCAGAGTTCGAAGGAAGGGAATAATCACAATTGAGTCTAAGTCTTTGAGGTGGGCCGCCAACCCCTTGAGCGACAATTCATGACCTAGGGCGTCAACCTTACAATGTACCAGAAAATTTTGGCTACACTGGTCGATAAGTTCCATCTGTCACACACTTCTAAGAGTCTTTTCACTCTTTCATGTAGGGAAGTCCATGACGTAGCAGGTATCGAGATGTTGATGATACATGACCTTCAACGTAGAAATGATGGTCTTGGGTCTGTATCCGGCACTCCGTTAGTGAACACATCAGTAAGCGTCGACGAAAGTAGTGCATGCGAGTTAGGTGTTGGACCAATCTTCAGATACATACAAAGTGCATTTTCGATCAGTGGTTGGCAAATCTGGTAAGCTTTTTTCATTCCAAAATGCATTCGTTACCATTAACTAAACCGTAGGTTTGTTGAAAACGGTGTTACCATAAAGTGCAGGTCGATCAGTCGTTGGTACATCTGGGGAGTTTTTTAGCCCAAAAGGCATGCATAAACTATTTAAAACAAGGCCGGAAGGTGTTGATGATTGAGAAAACAGCTTTTGCCTGGCCCGTCGTTTCCACAACCCAAGATCCACTCGCCATGTCCAACGAGCAATACCACATCGCTTGATTCAAATCGAGCAGCAACTCTTTAATCTGTGGCGTGGAGTAATCATCAATATTTTTACTTATTCACCTTCCTATATTCGATGCACAGCCGTACATTTTACCCATTATTCTTGATTATCACCTTATAGGGGGAAGCCCAAGGTGAAGTGGACGGTTAAATGATCCGAGCCAAAAGTAATCCCCCCTGATCAGGTCCGCCAGTTTTTCTCGGTATTTTGGTGCCATCGGTCGTACTCTCCGCGCAATTGGTTTAGCACTTCCCTACATCAATATAGCATACTGCTCCACGCGCAGCTGGAGGCAGGGCGTTCCCCTTGTCCATGAGTAAGTGGCGATATTTCCAGATCACTTGCCCAACTTCTCTTAAACCTCTGTTATTGGCACGCCTAAATGTCATCTTTAGCCACTTCTTCCATATAAGCCTATAACTTCTGGCAAGAAGGCCATGTGTTAGTCCACATCTTCCCACGAACAAATCGCCCGCGTCATGTCGGTATATAGCAAGTTTTAACGGATTATCATCTGTTGAGTCTTCTATGCACATTGATACTGTAACGTTTTTCTCTCTTGATCTGACAGCTTGAGCTTCTGATTGACCCCGGAGAGCGGTCATTATCTCCTGCGATCGTTTACGCTTTCTAGCGCTTCTTCCGACCAATTCTGAGTCGGATCGCCATCCTCTGCTTACGCCATCATACTGACCGCATCAGGCGCTTCTATCGATTGCTGCTCTTCCTTTTCCGGGCGATCTTCGTCCTTGATATTACGCCCTATGATATCTGCCTACATCTTCTTTTTAAATTAACTTCTTTAAGGTAGAATAAGATGCATGGCCCACTCGGGGCCCCGAATACCCGATCGGATGTTATTTAGTTAACTCCATTGTAGATAAAGAAGCCAGAATCTGCCATTCCTTATACCGGCGTATTCCGACCGACACATATCCCGGTGACCGAGCTATCATTCCCGTCACCATCCACCATTTTAAAAAAAGTATCGTGGATCTAGAAACACTTGTCGATCGACGACGTTAGTCAGTATCAAGTACTTTATCTAGCCAGGCCTATTAGTCATTGTCGGTACCCGCTTCTTGTATCGCCTTGCCCTTAGTCTGAGTTTGGAAAAACCCCTGTTCTAATCTTCATCTCAGTGTGTTCTGCGGCGGGGATCAACACAAATTGGTCTTAAGCAGTGATCGGTTTGCATATTTACCTCCGTTCGGAGGTCATCGCCCGGCCAAGTGAATTTTTAACCTCATCCGGAAAACAAAAGCGTACCGTCTGCTTAGATCCACCGTATTCCGGCTGGCCCTATAAAGAATCCAAACCTAAGATTTCTTTTTTAAACAACTTGATCGCCCACTCAAATGTCAAAATAACATACTAGCGATCCATTTAAGATTATTTTTGATCTTGGTACGCCCTCAGTCATGTAAGCGTTTTCTCCGATCCCCACACATTCTTGCTGCTGACTGTTATCGATCGTACATACCACCTCAGCGAGCAAAGGTAGCGTCTATGATCGAATCTTTCGCTCTAGAATCGAATATTGCGGTGGCCTTTTTGTTGTTGATATTGCCGACCGCTTGTTGCCTGTATATCACACTTTACGGGTGTGTATTATTCCAACATCCTTACAATTCCTACTTTGTGCTAGATCGGAACTCCATATTGTTGGGAGATCGCGAACATTTATCTACC